CTCCCGCTCTGTACCGAGCGAGGGGCTGATCAGCGTGGAGGGCTGGAGGGGCCATCACACAGGGTCTCCATGGGCAGACCCCCGGCAGCAGCTCAGAGTGACCCCCATGCCGCTGGTTTTGAAGACCATCAACAGCAAGGCCTTTAAGATGTGTGAGAAGAGATGTAGGCTGAATTCCTGGCCACACCTTGCCTCCTCTCTCCCCTGCAGCTGCTGTTTTTCATTCCTGGGGTGCATGTGAAGCCCCGTGGGTGGTGGGCGAGGGCTGGGGTGCAGGGGAGGGTGCTCAGTACCCATACAACCTGCCGGGTCCAGCGTTGGCTCTCCAGGCACGGCGGAGCTGAGCCTGGCACTGAGCTGGGGATGCGCGCAGGGGGCTCGCCCAGCTGTGGGATTTGCTTTGCAGAAGAGGTTTATAGGAACGCCTATAATACCATCAGTCCTGTTGCACGAGGCTGGTGGGGCTCTGCCTGGCTGAACGCTGCCCCACAGCTGGGGGAGGACTGGTGAGATCTGTGTGGCTCCGGCTCCCCAGCGTTCCGGAAACCCCCTCCCTTCCCCACAGCTCCCCCCAGGGCTGCAGCTTGTCTGTCCTGTCAGGAATTCATCCTATTTTTTTCTTCTCATGGTTTGATTTCTTGGAAGGATGTTCATGAAGATGAAATAAAAACCTGACACCAGTGTTGTGTTGCTGCTTGCAGGGAGTGCCCCCCTGCGCCCCTGCCACAGCCGCCTCCTCCCCACCATGAGAAAGGAAACCCCAAAGCTCTGCCCTCCCCAGGGTGGAGGATTCACGCTGGGAACCCGCTTTATACCTTCCCCTGAGCAGCAGTGCTTCTCCCAGCCGATGTGACTGTGGTAAGAAGATGAAATGGAGAACAGCCCGGCCTCGGCTCTGCCGGCGCTCCTGCGGTAATTGCCTCTCCGGGGTATTCCGTGCCATCGGTGTGCTGCGTGCAGCCGCGCTGCCATAAATAAAAAGGGGGGAGTGATCCCCCCATCTATCTCTTTTCCCCAAAGGCTTTTTCCTTTGAAGCCCCCTTTGCCTACAAATGCAGATAATAAAGCCGCGTTGCAGCGTGTGCGACCCTGGGCTGCGCACAGGCAGGAGCAGAGAGGACCAGCTGCAGAAATTTGGTGCCCAGGGGGCAGCAGGAACATCCCCTGCATCTCCCCAGGGCTCGTGTGTGGACCCCTGTGTTCACAGGAGCTGCCTTTCAGCCCAGACCTGGTGGGGATGTGTCACCTCGGCTGTGATCTTGGGGGTTTTTGGGGGCCAGTCCCACCTGCAGACCCACATGGGTGATGCCTGTGACCGGAGCAGACAGCGGCTGCGCTGGCAGCACAGGTGGGATGGGGAGAGAGACCCGGGTCTGGGTGAGGCCATCGCTCCTGCTCGTCCCCTCCGCAGCCTGACCCCTGGGCAGCTTCGCTTCACCCCTGGAGAAAGGAGCCCCCCGACCTCGCTGCATGGGGCTGAGAGCTGTG